TTCCAAACACAATCCAATCTGACATTCTTTTAATTGGTGACCTTAGGCTATTTACAGTGGATGTAATTATTAATCTTTTTAGATTTAAGCCCACTATTTCATTATTTGTTTTCTGTTTGCAGTCTCTGGTTTTGTTTCTCTGTTCCCTGTTTTGTATTATTTGAATATTTTTAATATTCTAATTTACTTACAGGCTTTTTGGTTTCATCTTCTTTGTATTTTTATTATGTTTAGTGATTAGTGAGTACATTATAATATATCTTAAAGCCCTCCTTGAAATTCCTTTCACTTTTCTCCACCAATTTTTGTGTTTTATTTGTCATAAGGAATACAGTTTCACATATTGAAAACCACACCAGACAATGCTCTTTTTACTTTCAGCAACTACACTTATCTTAAATTAAAAAGAGTCTATAGTCTGTTAAATTTACTCAGATATAAGAACTCAATTTGAAGACACAATGGCCAAAGCAGAAAATTTGGTGAGAATCATAAATTTACAGATTGCAAAAGTGCATCAGAACCAAATGATATAAATTCAAAAAAGACATTTGCTGAGACATCATAATCAGTCAGCTCAAGAAAAAGATTTTTCTTGAAAGTAAATAAAATGATGCATTATATATAGGAGAATAATGTCTATGGAGGCTAGAAGACAACAGAACGGCATCTTTAAAGAACTGAAATAAATGAGTGCTCAATCCAGATTTTGTACTAAATGAAAATAATCTTAGGAATTATTATTTAAAGACAATCCCAAATAAGGGGAACCTAAGAAGAATTTGTTGCCTACATACTTGCTCTTAAAGAAATGGCAGAAGTTTTCCATGCTGAAGTAAAAAATGATAAAAAAAGGAAACTTGGATTTTTAGGAATGAAGGAAGAGCAATGGATTTCTTTACAACAAGAAAATGCTTTGGCCTCAGTGCAGATTTGAAACTTGATCAGATTTGCTGGATTTATATTTTGCCAATAGTTTCTTCGTTTTTAACTTGAGCCCATTTGGGGGGCTCTTTCTCTATTACTGTCTGATATGTTGCTACTATAGGTTCATTTCATGTTTCTTATGTAGAATCTTAGATAAAATTGTTTAATGCTATTGTTTTCTAAAAATGTGATTTCCATTGGCTAAGCTAATAATTATATTTTTGAATGGATTTTGAAATATTAATGCCATATCCAGTTCTTAGATTTGTGATCTGTTATATGATGATCATGAACATTATTTTTATTTCAGACCACCAGAGAGGCTCTTTAATTTTACTTCACTTTCCCCCAGATGCTTTAATCATATAACAAAATCATCAATTTTACAACAATATAATATGTAGTATGCAACACAGTATTTTAATTGGAACAATTGCTGACATATTTTCTGACAAACAAGAGGGGCTACCTATTATGCTTCTTAGAAAAATGTCCTGGGCTGGAGTATAGGGCAGTGATAGAGCCTGTACTTAGCATGCACAAGACCCTGATTTCTAGCTCCATCACTAAGAGAAAGAAAGAGAAATGTCCTTTTTTTTTTTCTTTTTGCATTTGTTGATTTGCTATATGCATCCCTGAATGTTTCAGATTTAATAGAATTTGGGGGTGGAGATGGGTAATCAGGGGTGACCCCAGGGGGCACTTAACCACTGAGTCACATCACCAGCCCTTTTTATTTTTCATTTTGAGACAGGGTTTCACTAAGTTGCCCAGGGACTCACTAAGTTGCTGAGACTACCTTTGAACTTATGATCCTCCTACCTCAACCTCCTGAGATGCTGGGATTATAGGTGTCTTAATAGAATTTTTTAATAGAATTTTTTTCTGGGGTCCCTTAGACCCCCTGATGATTACTAGAATTTTTTAAATTCATCACTTATGGAAAGTAAAAAATAGTGTTTCCTTTTTCTCCTTTCCAGTTCTCATTACTTTTATTTTTGCTTCAGACAGTCTGTGTTTTCCCTTTTGTTGTCAAAAGTGTTACTAATTTTAGTACCCAATGTATGAGCAAAGGGTAAATATTGATCTGTCACTACTGAAAAACATTAAATCTTTTTATTATGGGAAATTTAAATTTATAACCACATATTATCTCCCCATCGAACAGTACAATAACACAAAGCCAGTTGCCGTAGTAATTTTTGCAGCTGCATCAAATGCTTTTTGTACATTTAATTATTTTTTTTAAAAGGTGGAAATCCTTTACTTTCCTTGATACCATGTGAATTCTGATGAAAATTTTTTCCAAATCACTTTAAAGAATTGATTTATAGATAATGCAATTCAAAAGTATTGATGGAATCTTATGTTTTTTTTTCTATAAAAGTAACTTAAGTTTTTAGCATTGACATTCCCATCTTAGAATAGTCTAGAATAGTCTTCTAATAGTCTAGAAGCTTGGAATCAACTTCCTCTTATTTTTTTTTTTAACTTTCTGTATCCAAGAAAGCCTACCTGCTTTTCTTTAAAAACTCTGGAATTTACCCTCAAATTCTGTCATTCTTTTTTTACAGCCAACGCCTGTGTGTTTTCTCGGCCTCTTTTTATTACTTTCTGCACATTTACTCTGAGGATCTTCAGGAGATGTCATATTCTCACTGTAGCAAGTCTAGACTTTTCTACCTCATATGCATTATCATCCACATCTCCACCAAGCCCTCTATATTGAATTTATTTTCTGCTTTTCTCCCACTGGTGTCTGGGTACTTATTCAACCCCAAAGAGACCATGGTACATGCCATAATCATTTTTTAATTTCCTTGCCTCTCCTCATGCTTTCAACCCTAACCTTATGCCCTTTCAGGAATACTATTGTCTTTTTTCCTTATGACCTCTGAAAGTTTCTATCACCAATTAATTTTGGAAAAGCCCCTCCAATTCCTCATCTAATTTTTCCTCTGAGCTCCTGTCACACATTATCTTTTGTATGTGATGCAATTCTCAAAGACAAAGACCTGTGTCATTCACTTCACTCCTATCTTCAGTTTTTAAAGTTAGATCAGAGCCAGGTGTGGTAGTGCATTCTTGTAATCCCAATTACTTGGGAGGTTAAGGCAAGAGGATTTTAGCCTCAGCAACTTAGCAAGGCCTTGTCTCAAAATAAAAAGACAGGGGCATGTTAATCAGTGGTAAAGTGCCCCTAGTTCAATTCCCAGTGCCAAAAAATAAAGTTAGATCAAAATAATTTCTTTTTTGTTTCTTTTTTCTTTTTATTCACTTTTGGAAACATGATTTTTTCTTCTTCCAGCTCCCTCACTCTTGTGCACCCCACATCAGAATCAGGTTTATTTTATGAAATAGATAAGAATGCAGACATTGGTAGGTGAAATACTGCACTAATGAAGTCAAAGGTAAATTGACTCCCACATGTGACAGTTAAGCTCACACAGAACAAAACTCCCATTCACAGTCCCAGGCTGTGTATTGAATCTGGCTACCCATCTTCAGAGTGTGTATTTTGTTTAGTGTTGGGGAAATTGAGCAATAAACTGGCTTTCTTAGCACAAATCTGTCAGTATTAGAAAAATGTCTAGAAATTAGTGTATTTTATACTCAAATTACTTTTGTTTAAAAGGCTAGCTATTAAAACATGCCTAGCTAATAGTATGTCTACAGCAAAGACAGAAGACATTTTCTGTAAATGGTCAGATAGTAAATGTTTTTAGGCTTTGCAGGCCACATATGCTGTTACATGTTCTTTGTTTTTGATGTTTTTGTTTATCACCCTTTAAAAGTGTAAAAGCCAGTTTCATCTGTAAGCAGGATAGAAGTGGGTCATGGGCTGGATTTGGCCTGTGGTTGTAGTTTCCTGATCCCTGCTCTGTAGCAATAGGAAAATCAAATCTGTTTAATTAAGCATTTAAGAGGGCAGAGAACTTTATTATCTGTGAAGATTTGCTAATGCTCATTCAAGTCCTAAACAGACTGGAATGTGCCTTAGGGGTCCCATCTAGTCATAGAGCATAAGAAATCTTCACCTAAGAGGAATGGATCAGGAACAGGGTCAGGATTAGAGAAGGGCAAGAGATGCATCATGGTGGACTTGAACATGTAGTGTGTCCTTCATGGGGAAAAAATAGACTTGTCCTGTCTGGTGCTTATTCCTTGATTGGAATGTGCTGTTCTGGGACAGAGTAAATGTTCTTCCCCAACAATGGTGATTTTTCCTAAGAAGAATGAAGTTTCTTGTGAAGAACTTCTGGACTTTACTCACAGCTTAGTGACTTGTAATTGTACTCACTATGGAATAGATCACAATAGACATCAATGATGAGGGAATGTTGCAGTAAATAAAAGGATTTACTTTGGGTAAAATTAAAAATCTTCATAGGACATGTATGCTTTAGATCTTCGCAAATGACCCACATTACTGGACAATATCCAAAAATGTTACCCAGCAGTAAGTAAAGTATAAATTTTATTGTGTTGGAAGTTTCCAAAAGACACTCTAATTCTTAGTTTAGAAATGATCTGTTTATTTCATATGAACAATTTGTACTTGCTTGAATGCTATAACTTGTAAACCTCCTATTATCTACTTAGATAGAAGGTAAATCACACAAATAGCTAAAAAACAAAAAACTTGAAGTGGATGTAATTTTTTTTCTCACCCTACTAACAAGGGTAGTTAGTCAATGACAGAATTCTGGTTCAGATTCATCACTTTGTATCTCCCTTTTTCCACACCAGCCCTCATCTCCACTTAAGAAATTCTGGCAAGCTAGTTTAAAGACACCTCTCTAGATTGAATTATTTGTCTATGAGCCTTAACTTCTGTGCTTCATCATTCATGACTATGGAAATAGTCACAGCTACTGATTTTATTTAGTTGTGAACTGTTACAGTATTGATCAATTTTATCCTGTTTATTTAAGTTAATCAGGGTGCAATTTATCTTAATTTTGATTTTGGTTGTAGAGGTTGGCGATTTGAAGGAGCTGCAGACACTAGACATTTCTACCAATCGTTTGCTAACTTTACCCGAGCGGCTTCATCTGTGCCTTTCTCTGCAGTACCTCACTGTGGACCGCAATCGTCTATGGTATGTGCCGCGCCATCTCTGCCAGCTGCCCAGCCTCAACGAACTCTCCATGGCTGGAAATCGTCTTGCATTTTTGCCACTTGGTAAGTGATGGTGTTTCTGTGGTACACAAAAAGGGCCAAAAATTAAGATGGTTTTTTGACTAGGATAGATTAGTTTCTCACTGTTTATCTACAGAGAGATTGCCTCTCTATACTTATTGTTGCAGTCAATAGAGGAGCATCATTCCCAGATAACAAATGAAATTATTACAATTAGGAATTTTATATATATATATATTAAATCTATGCTAAAAATTCGCTTAGGGACAAAATACATGCAATATAAGATAATTACTCTGTGGAGGGAATTAAAGAGCGTGTGTGTTTATGTGTGTGTGTGACCATGTGACTATACATTTGACAGAGGGTATTGGGCAATATGAAAGAACAGCTATTTGTCTGAATATACCTGCTTAGATCTTCACTTATACCTAGAAAATTTGGTATTGAGTGCCTAATAATTAGCATTGCCAGATAACCTGATCGTAAAACCTTAAAGACTTTTAAATTGGCTAAATGTCCTGCTGATCTTGAAACATCACCATGGCTAATAAACAGCATATTGTCCCCGGTAGATTTCTGTAGTTGACCCATATTATATGTCAACCAACTTAGGCCTTTAGTAACTAAACAGCACATTTATTTCATTTAAAAAATTTCTTAAATTTTAAGAAACAGAAGTACGAACTAAAAAAATAGTTAAAATATGAAGTCCCATAGAACACCAGTTCTGTCACAATAAACATCATATAAATTTATTCATAAAAATTTTTATAATGAATAATTTATCATTGAGGGCAATGAAGTAAATATTTTACTAGTCCCTGAAAGGTAATGTTTTCCAATATAACTATACATATTATTTTCAATTTAAATCACTTCATGAAAACTTTAAGTACTGGCAACATTAAAATCAATTCACATAATGATAAGTAATTGTCAAATTCAGGGAAATTACTTTTTCACAAACTCTGCTTTTACAATTAACAAAGTAAAATAAAACTACTAAAAAGAAAGTTGCATTTCTAGGAAATTTGAGCTGATCTTGAGTAAGAAAAATATCAAATTTGAATGTTTTTTTAAAAATAAATATACATTCTGCGCTAACCCAGAGATCCAAGTTCTAGCCTGATTCCACCACTTCACAATGTATGATCCAGAGTAAAGCCCCAGAACCTCTCTGAGTATCATTTTTCTTATCTGTAAGCCAGAGATGATATATATCCTGGTTAATATGATAGTTTATGGATAAGAATTACAAAGTCCTGTACAAATGTAGATGACTTTAAAATGAAAATATATAACTTATGGATTACCGTATCTAAATTTAAAAAATATTTTAATAGTACAATTAATTTTCATAGTATTATTATAAACCACATATGTAAGAAGATTTTCCATGCTATGGCTAGCAATAGCTCTCACTTCTTGAGCACCCATCCTTTGGTCAAGTATTCTAATTGCCATATAGATAGATGCTCTCTAAGTATTACAAAACCTTATGACAAAATCTATTAAAAAAAAAACATTGACAACCTGATTTTACATCATCTTTCTAGTTGTATGGCCATCTGCAGTGTCAAATTTGGCTCTGCCATTTTGGATTCAAAAACTCCTTTGGACACTCTAGTTGGCCTCTTTCAGTGCATCTCTCCATTTTCCCAGCAGGGTCTGCCTGACACGGGTAAGTGCTTCCTCTCAACTACTCTCTCTATACATCAACCAGATACTTTTAAATCATTTGCTTCCACCTTGTCTAACTTCAACAAATCCTACAGCAACATAAATATTTTTAAAAATTTATTGGTACATTATAATCATACATAATAATGAAATTCATTTTGATATAGTCATACATGCACATAACATGAATTGGTAATTACATTCACCAGTACTCCTTTCCCTCCCCTCCTCCTTCTTCCTGATGCCATTCTCCTATTCTGTTGGTCTCCTTTTCTATTTTCCTAAGATCCTTTTCTCCATTTTTCTGTCTAGTTTCTACATACAAGAGAAAACAGAACCCCTGACTTTCTGAGTCTGGCTTACTTCACTTACCATGATGTTCTCCAGTTTCATCCATTTTCCTGAAAGTGACATAATTTCATTCTTCCTTATGGTTAGTAAAGCTCCATGGTGTGCATGTGTCTGTGTGTGTATGGCACATTTTCTTTATTCATTCATCTGTTTATGAACCCCAAGACTTGGTTCTATTAATTTGCTGTGTGAATGTACTGCTGTAAACATGGATATGCATATAGCACTATAGTATGCTGACTTTAGTTCTTTGGGTTAAATACTGAGGAGTGATATAGCTGGGACACATGGTGGTTCCATTCCTGGTATTTTGAGGAACCTCCATATTGATTTACGTGGTGGTTGTACTAATGTACAATCCCACCAACAGTGTATAAACATTCCTTACTCACTGCTCCTCCAACATTTATTATTTGTATTCTTAATTGCCATTCTAAGTGGTAATAGATGAAATCTCAGTGTTGTTTTGATTTCCATTTCTCTGATTGCTAAAGATGCAACAGAAATCTTATAAAAGCCTAGTCCTTATATTTCTCATCTAGGTCTTTCTTGGTGCCAGCAAGTCTTCTTCTCACTTTGTTTGTCCCCTTCAAGTTCTGCAGAGCCCCTAGTTCCTTCATTTTGAAATTGTGTTTCTAGCAACTAGTTTTCCTTGTCTTTTTTGGGGGGGCGGGGAGATTCTTCCACTACATACTCTGTCTCAACTCTAAACCATTCATACATCTGGCTGGCCAGAGCATGATCCATAACCCTGGTCTCATGTCTGATAGCCAAATGGACTCTTATAATACCAAGTAGAGCTTCCACTCTGCCTGGAATTTCACACACAATTGGACTTTCTAAGTCAAATGGCTTTTATGTCTTGTGGCTAGTTTCTGTGCCTTCTGCCTTGCCTATTCTGTATGCCTCACCATAGCTTCTCTTTTCCTTGATCATTTGCTGCCCGTTTCTACCTTTGTTTCAGTAGTGACAGAGCTGAACAGGTACTGAGTTGGCAATGGTGTTAGAAGAATAAAGGGAAGTCATACCCCTGGGAACCTACCCACTGTTAACATTTGGGGTGCCTGGTAGTCATACTGTGTATTATGCTAAATACCGTGTATCACAGTGGCAGAGGATCTGATTTGCAGTGGCTGGTGCAGATACTAGAAGCAGTTCTTGGGCAGAGATAGAGGACTACACATTGCCCGGCTCTTCCTCTGTGCTGGCACTCTCATTTATTTGCATCTTCTGTATACACCGTGTCAGTGCTGGTGTGGCTAGGGAAGTGGACATGTCTTTTTCACTACTTGATATTCAGTGGTGAGTAGAATTTTTACAAAATAATTTCTATCTCTAGGTTTCATGTCACCTTACCCTTAAGTCATTTTTCTGTGTCAGGAGACTTTTTCCTTTGTAAACTTCATAATGTTGTGTCAAAGAGCACGAGTGGCAAGGTGGTCTGTGCTGGGCTCTGAGGAGAGTGCCTTGTGATGGCTAAAATACCCAGAACTCCTAGGCCTGGGGCTCTAGACAACCTCGAATGTGGAAGCAGCTTCCACACTGCCCTGGACACTACCCCAGCTCACAGGACTCCCACCTTGATAGCACATGGGCCTGTGAACAGGGAGAAAAACACATAAGCAAGAGGGTAGTGGTGAGGCTTGTCCAGCCTAAAAGAAACATCCTGCCCAAAGTAGCACTCTCCTCTTGGTCTAAGACTGGATCCTTTGAGAACAGGGGATGAAAGGGTCAGGGAGCAGAAACATGCATTGGCAGCCACACAATGTGTGGTCACCCAGAGAAGGCTTTGAGGAGATTGGAGATTAGGTAATCCGTGAGGATGAAAGAAACTGAAGCAAACCAGAATGTCAGCAGTCTCCTCGGTTTTGTTTTTGTTTTTTACTTTTTAAATTAATTTACTTTTTATTGTTTTTGCCACCAGGAAAGCAAGTTTGGAAATAATTACAACTTTAGCAAGAAAATAGTTAACATTTGTGTGCTTGAAATCTTTCCTGGAACTCTTCTGATAAACCAAAGTCATCTAATGCTAAGAACTATCAGAGAAAGTGAAATGAAGCACAGTGCTGCTGACCCTCCCTTTGCTTAGTGCACTGAACTGTCCTTAGAAACTTAGAAGAGGAGGGGTTCCTCTTTATAGTTGTTTGGAGATGCTCTACACACACACATGCACGCACACACACACACCCTGAAGTTTTCAAGCACTGGAAGACTTCTGTGTTTTTCTATGTTTTTAGAAGCAAAATATAGGAACTTAGGAGTTTTGTGAAGTCAATGTTAGATATCCTCTGCCTGTGAGGGAAGGTGGGAATCATATTCTGGGAGCCACTTACTGAATTCAGTTTCTTGTCAAAGAAGTTTGACTTCAGAGAAAACCAGTTTTTATAGGGCTTCTTAAAGTAATGTCAGATTATACCTGCTTCAAAAGGCAGCTACAGAAGTTATATGTAAGGATGACTTAAATCACTTGTAATATTATCGAACCCATTAACTCTCTTTGAGTATGTTCTTCTAAGTCACTTGTAATACTGTCGAAACCATTAAGACTCTTTGACTGTGTTCTTCTTAAGATGAAAAGATGTATCAAAAAAGAAGGATGCTCCTCTTATTACTGTACCGTGACAGTTGAGTGACAGATGAGTCTGCTGCCAGAGGCTTTGTTCTCAGTGGTGACTATCAGCAGAGAAGGAGAAGAGCAGTCACTTGAGCCTATGCTATGAAAGTTAACAGAGGTCTCTCAAAACTTGAATATTTGCTATCAATTCAGGATAGCTCTGTTTAGCTCACAGAATTGTGACCACCCCTTGGCTTCTGGAAGTTTAGAGAAATGTGAAGAAAAAGGTGGTTTCCTCTAAGGCTTTTTTTTACCAGATGCTGCTAGTTTTCCTTACATAATTAATAAGCCCTATTATTCAGGAATGTTTACAACTTGTTTAATGTTGAATAATAGAAAGAAGGATTGTTAGGTTCCCCATGCACAAGTTGGATATGGAGCCTATAGGGAGTGCTGTGTCAACTCAAGGCTAGTAACTTATATAGTTTTAAAAAAACAGAAGTGCACAGTTATCCAGTAGAATTGGCTTGGGAGGATTAAATGAACTCTAGATATGGCAAAAGGGAAAAGGGGAGGGAGGGAGCATAGGAGTAGGAAAGATGGTGGAATGCGATGGTCATCATTACCCTAAGTACACGTAAGAAGAAATGAAGGATATGACTCTACTTTATGTACAACCAAAGAGATGAAAAAGTGTGCTCTATATGTGTAATATGAATTGTAATACATTCTGTGGTCATATATTAAAATCAAAATTTAAAAATTAATTAATGAAAGAGAAAACACATAAGCAGCAGTAAAAATAAAAACATCAATACAATTAAAAAAAAAACAGTGAATGAACTCTTAACCAAGAAAATTTGGTGGCAACACTGAGATTTATAGAATAGCCTGTGCATAAACAACCGCATAGTAAGCCCAAAAGTTAGTAAAGAGTGCTAATGAGAAATGATCTGGCTTTCCAAAGCAATCACACAGTTGTCCTTCAGAGATGCTAGTAGTGCACAGTTTCATTTCTTAGGAAGAGCTATTCTGTGTTCCAAAGACTTGTGCAACAAATGGAGTGACAGCTCCTTTACTGCTTGCTGCATTGTACACTGTTGCATTGATGAGGGTGCAATACCACGCCTTTTTCTCAGACTAGGTGAACACTGTTTTTGAAAACAGGGGTAGTGGTTGTTTTCCTTCATAGGAATTGGGTACCTGTGTGGAAAAAAACACATTATAGCAAGTTAGTGATGCAGTTTTAGAAACTAGTTCCCAGGCATTTTCAAAACACTGGTGAAATTCCTTCTTTTATTGTAAATGAGATATAGAAGGTACCAATATGTTAACTCTACTTACTTTTTCTATTGCTTCTTGTTCCCTGCTTAGAAAGTCAGCAATTGCTGTTCATAATTTTTTGACTAAACAATTTAAGTCCACATTGTAAAACAACTCATACTTTAGTATTAAAAATAGAAATTAATAATTCCTTTTTAAAAATTTAAATTAATTTAAAAATTTAAATTAATTAATTGACATAAAAATCATACACATATATGGGGTACCGTGTGATGTTTCAATACATGTATCAGTTGATTTTTTCTTCATCTCAGATTTGAAATCCAGTGTAAACTGTACTCTCCTGAAATGTGAATGTATTTATCTGCCATTAAGGAACTGCTGCCTGAAGGTCATTGTTTAATGGGACTCATTTGCCAAGTAAATTGAGTCTCAGTACTAACAAGAAACAGAAAAGTGGAAACAGAAAGTCCCAGAAGTTGGAGTTACCCCTGTGATTGAGTAGAAAGTATGATAGCTGCTTCCTAAAGGGGGGCCCAAGCATGTGCCTAAGATAGCATTCTGTAGAAATTGTTGGGCGGGTCTCTAATCAAAGGAGAAACTAATGAAATGAGAAAATGAAAAGAAATATAAATAATGGAAAAGACGAAAAGAAATATTGAAGACAGGGTACAAAAAGTGGGAAGAAATGGGAGAGAAAATTCATCTGTTAATTAAAACCCATATGGATTTTATTTAACTCGAGAATGCAGTGTCTGTAAGAAAATGGATGTTCACTGCTCCTGTCATAAGTATTTGTAACACAATTTTTC